TATATTTAGTATAGAGTTATATATGTATATGCTAACATTTGACTTTTGTCTTTCCCATTTCGAAGTGGATCTATTTACAAAAGGCCGATTTCGAAATTAGACTTGTAGAATTACTAATATTACTATTACTTGTATTATTACTATTATTACTATTGTTACTATTACTACTATTATTGCATATACGTTCTCTTTTTCTAGTAAACTTATTCTCAGTGATCTTTGTGGCCATCGACGCTGTCGTCGCCGTCGCCTTCGCCGTCGTCATCGCACTCGCATCGTTACCGATAACAGCGTTATCGATATCACCAGCTATCGCAGCACTCTCTACATCCTCGGGTATAGCCGGTATGCTAATGCTCTCAACGATACGCTGATGCGAAAGCGAATGCGAGTGCGAATGCGAAAACGAATGCTGATGCTGATGCTGATGCGAATACTGATGCATCGATTGATAGTGTTGCAGTTCGATGAGCTGTTCCCGTTCCATCGATGATGTTGGCGAATGGAAACGCTGTCGCAGCGCCGTCTCCATCAATGTCGTAGCCGATCTTGTTGGCGACATCGATTTCGACATGGGCATTGTTGTTCCAGTTGTTCCAGTTGTTCGATTTGTTGTTCCAGTTTCAGTTATTGATGATGTTAGCTCTGCTGTCATTGTCATGGGTCGTAATGGATGCATCTCAATGTTAATCACGGAGTTGGAGCGCTCTCTGTCTGATATTCAGCTGCCGTATTTGTTGGAAGATGCGTAGCTATTAACTGCAGATCCATTTGATGGCATGTGAGTATCAGGCACTAAATGTGGTGTTCTACTAGATATAGGTGGCAAAATAGGGCTTGTTGGCCAATGGTAAGTAGCAGCGGCGTTATTGGATGAGGGTACACTTCTATGCAAAAAGCAGTATATATATATAATATATATGTTAATTCTCAATTAGATTCGCATTGCGGCCGGAAAAAAACGGCGTTTGGTTTTTTATTTAATTTTTACTTGTATCAGTTATCAATTCATTATCATTATCATTAGCATTAGAGTATGTCAATGGTTAGATGTGTGTGAGCTCGATCAATATGCCAAAAGATAGCTAGATAGCGCTATGATATGATATAAAAAAGCCATATGGAATGCATTTTCAAACCAATCAAATTAAATCGCAAAATGTTTTTTACTCTTTCTGTTTTTGTCTATTTCGGTTCCAATTCCAAAATGCAAATTGATGGCACTCACAGACACTCTCTCACTGTTTTTTCTTTTTTCTCTATTTTACTCAATTTTTTTTTTTTTTTTTTTTTTTTTTACCAAAAATAATCACATGCATCTTGCATAGAAGAAGAAAATGCCACAAAATTTGTACGATGAGGGGATCTCGGGGGGGATTTTGATCTGGAACTACTAGTTGGACTCTCACAGTGGCTCAGACACACACAAACAAAAAGTACTACAACAAAACGAAAATATGGAACGAAAGAGACGAAATGAAAACAACAAATGTATCGATAGTTGAAGTCCACGGATTAAGCGCATGCATCGATGACGATAAATATCGATCAGCAATGCCAGGTTGTTAGTGAACAGATAAGTGCATTTGTTGATTAGTAATATTCTTCACACGATAACGATATGTCGATAAAATGCACTGTTAAACATTAAGATATATGTATATATTATATCGACATCGCATATTAAATTTGTAGAAATTAGCATACTAGGAATATATCGATATGTATGAGTAATCAATTAATATGACTAGTTATCGATTGCTTGAAATGCGATAACATATCGATATATATATTTGCGTATTACTTATTGTTCATATATGGATATTGCCAGCTTATATTTGTATAGGTAGTTGCTTATCGATACACATATCGATAGTCAGGCAAATGTGTGCTATCTATATTCAAATTGACATTTCAATTAAAAGTGCTTTTATTGATTTCATATGTCCCTCTGAGAGATGTTTTAATATGATTAGACAATGCCCCAAACAATATTTATATAAATGCAATAGCCATTAAATGGCTTAGCAGTCGAGTAGTTCAGTTTAATATCGAGTGGACTTCAACTAGTTGAGCAGTCGATGGAAATGGTACGTGCTTATGGTGATTATGACGATGACAATGCGGATGATGATGATGCATATGCATAAGCTAATTGCAAATATTCTCAATGGGCCACTTACCTAGAGTGGGGGAACAGCATGGGGGCCGCATTGAACATGGATTGGGGCGTGGGCGGTTGAATCGATGGCTGAATGGCAGCGGCTGCTGTGTCCGGGTGCAGAAAGTTGCGTCGTTGCTCGATGCGCTCCTGATGCTGGGTCAAACAGCGCGATAATAGATCTGGAAGGCTTTCCATGTGCTCCTAAAGAACGAGAGAGAGAGAGAGAGAGAGAGATCGTTAATCGATAGCACGTATCGATAACTACTAATGACACTCTACTCACTTGTAGACTTTGCATTTTGTCCTCTAGATTCGTTAGGCGCTCCTCGATGGCATCCTGTCGACTCGACATTTCCGATATTATTTCATAGACCGTATTTTGTGTCTGTGATGAAAATAGTTGGTATTTTTAGTTTGTTGTTTTTCGATAAATAATATTATAAGTGCATGAATCAAATACTGTGGATTGTTAGCTACCTTGGCCATATCGGTTATTGTGTTGGCATTATCCATTAGTTTGCGTTGATCCATTTTAACTTTTCGCAACCTAGTAGCAGGTGGGGGGAAGAATCATCGAGTTTATAAACGATATTATTGAATAGACAAACAAGATCTAATTCATTATTTCGTTACATCATTCATTTATCATTGTGGTAGATCGAGCAATGCATTGACGTAGTGAAAATGCACGGCTCGGTTGAATTGCGAAACGGACAATGGGCTTATTAAGCCTCCATGTATATATAGATATATATACGATATAGGTATATACAGATATATATACGATATATGCATATATAGATATATATATACGATATATATAAATAGGCATTATGAGATATTTTAAGATTATCCAATAAGTATATAAATTTATTTGAATTGGAATAAATACAATAATAAGATAATTTTTTTTTTCTGAAAGTTTTGTGATTTTTTTTTGTGCTTAAAGTGTTTTTTTCCAAAATAATAAATTCGTGTTTTTTTTTTTGGCTTAGCGTTAAGATTACAGAAAATCACATCAAAAATTATCAACAGGCAATTGTCTCTCTTTTCTTTACTCTATA